AGCTTCTAATTTATTTATTTATCTATTTATTTTTCTTGAAATGAAGAAGAAAAACTAGGTCAGCTGGAAAAACTAGAGAGGAAATACCACAACTCGCAAGAGTGAAAAAGTTCCAATCCAAAATGGCTTTCGCCACTCGTTTCTTCTCAAGATCCGCTCGTCAGGTCTCTTTGATCTTTCTATTTTGTTTTGTAATATTTATTTCTTGAATTCATTCGAATCAATGGATCTAGCATTAAAATATACGAAGTGTTTTTATTTTTATTTAAATAAATATGGTACGGGTTTAGTTTTTTTTGTTATGTGATGAAGAAGAGATTTAATTTTTTTCCCCGAAAATGTTGGTATGTTTGCGCCTGTAATTATTTCCCATTTGTTATTGTTATTGTTATTGTTATCTTATTTTATTTTTGTTTACTTTGATCGAATGTGGATGGTTTGTACAAATGGTCTTTTATTTTTCTTTTTGCAGGTGTATACTGGGCAGATGATTCTGCGAACGGAGCAGGTGATTTCTGCTCGTTCATTTGCCAAATCAGCTGGTTCTGCTCCCTCTGCCTTAAAGGGTGACGGTGAGTCTAAACATTTTGATGTTGCTATGATTGTTGTTAAGCTCTCAGGAGTAATATTTGACTTTTTATGACCATTTTTTGTGTGGAATTGATGGTTAAAATATCGAGGTATACCTGTATTCCTATGTGGATAATGACTAAGAATGTCTAATGCCCGCGTTTTGATAAATATAAACACTACATTTCAATTCACAGTTGAAAACTGAATTCAGATAAAGTATGCAGAATGCACGAACTTTGTTGAATGTGTGTAAGACAAGTTGAAGAACACATTTAGAATTGAGTTTGCAAGACCATGATGCAATACAAGAGGAAAGTGGTTCAGCTAGATTCATAAATAATCTTTAAGACTTTCTAAGGATAATCACTAATGGACACGTGTTTGCTAAAATCTCTGTTAATAGGATAAAATGATGCTAGTTTGTCCCCCTGGACTGATTTTTTTCGTAGGAGAGATGGCTGTACTGATGGTTATCAATTCATGTTTTATAGAAGTAGGTTACTTGGCCACTAGACTTTGGTGAATGGGTAATGCTATCTAGTGGTCCTAGTAAATAATCTTTAAGACTTTCTAAGGATAATCACTAATGGACACGTGTTTGCTAAAATCTCTGTTAATAGGATAAAATGATGCTAGTTTGTCCCCCTGGACTGATTTTTTTCGTAGGAGAGATGGCTGTACTGATGGTTATCAATTCATGTTTTATAGAAGTAGGTTACTTGGCCACTAGACTTTGGTGAATGGGTAATGCTATCTAGTGGTCCTATCGTACTTGAACTGGTTGAATTGCCGGTTGGTGCATTTTGCCTTTAAAAATCTTGGCTAAAAGATTGTGTGCATAGCTAATCATGTTCAACGCGTGCATTTTGCATGAGATGAATTGTTGGTGCAGCATTTTCAACTCCTTCAATCTCACTCCATTTTGTTTCAAGATATTTTGCAAGTTGATGTGGACTTCCTTTGTTAGTGATGAACTGTGCCTAGAAGAACCATCGCATCTTTCTCTAGTCTTTCCCAATGTCTGCTTTTGTCGGTTTGTATGTCCGCATGTGAAGTGAACACTACATATCAAGTGCTCAAAGTCTTCAGTTCATTAATCTTTTCTTTTCTTTGAGAACATAGAACTATTTTGGGCTCTTCAAATTTTTTTACAATGATGATGTTACAACACACCGTGATACGGGGCATTGAGCTTGTGATGTCAATGGTTTTGGGCGGTTTACCTTTCCTACACTTTCAATATACATATGTTTAAGAAAATATGTTATGCTGCGTATAATATTGGAAGTTTTGAGCTTCTGACTTTGCATATATATCTGAAGAGATGTTGAAGGGCATTTTTCTGGAGGTTAAAAAGAAATTTGAGACAGCCCTAGGGATTCTCCGAAAAGAGAAGATCACCATAAATCCTGATGATCCTGCTGCTGTGTCTGAATATGCCAGAGTCATGAAGACTGTAAGAGAGAAGTAAGATGTTTTAGCTACTCTTGTAGAAAGTCTTGGTTTACAGTGCCTGTCCATCTTTTCCATATCTAATATTGTTTGTATTTCTCATAGTAGATTTTATATTTAAAGGAAGAGAAGTAGGTAAGTAAATTTTTAATTATTCTGTGCTTTAAGTATTAACTTACTCATGAATTGAGCATCTCATTGTAACGTTCATTTCATTCACTGCTCGTCTATTGGAACTTGGGATTGTGTTGGTTAAAGTATCATGCATCTGGACTAGTTTAAAGATTTCCCAGGTAAATATCTGATAGTTTTTCTTGGCCAGCAATTTGAGAACATGTTATTGTAGTTAGTGCTCTCACTCTCATAAAGCATACATGATACAACACTCTGAATGTCAAGCATATTGATATTTTATCAACACATCCTGCCATTTCATTGGCATGCATAATTCAACCGATTATTTGATCACTTTGTTGTCATTCACATGTTTATTACCTTTTTTATGACAGTGGATGATCAACAAGTTTGACTTATAATTGTATCTTTTGCTTCATAAGGGCCGTTATATAATTTGCTTTATTGCTGTTTCCTACGTTATATATTGATCTTACTTATCATCATTTTATCTGCCCAAGTTTCACGGGATCACGATTTACTTTGCACTCTATGTCTCAGCTACTCTTTGACTTTTCTCTTTTCTCACGTATTGTAAAATTGCTCCTTTTTTTTTTTAATTGTTATCCTTCTTCAAAAATGATGTAAAGCAAACTATTGTTGGGCTATTTTATAATTAGATGACGTTTCTGTTTAATAATTTGTTTTATATGTGCAGGGCTGATCTGTTTACAGAGTCACAGAGGATTAAATACACAATTGAGTCACGAACACAAGGTATTCCAGATGCTAGATCTTATTTACTGGCATTGAAGGAGATAAGGATCAAGTATGTACATTTTTCTCTATCTGATGCACTGATACTATATTAATTTTGCATTTCTTAAAGTTTATGGATGAAGTTTCTGTATGATAACTTCCTTCCAAAATGAACACTTAAAATTTGGGGGATTTTATACTAGTCAAATTTCCAAGGCTAAAGCATAAAATGATGATTCTTGCAGTAGTTTTTTAAAATTCAGTTAATATGACCATTATTCTCTGATGATCTGTGAATTATCATAGGACACCCGACACCTATGTCATAGGAGTGTCTTGCTATTCTATAATCTCTTTTATTTTCCTTAAATTGTTCCGTGGCCCTATTGTTTCATTGCCGTTATATTGACATTATTGCGATGAAACCTTCTTCTTGGAGCATTGGATCTAGGATTATGCCCTTTATCCAGTCCACTTCTCCTTTGTTCATATTCTTTTCTTAATGGTCTGGCAGGAGGGGTCTCACTGATGAACTGGGTGCAGAGGCTATGATGATGGATGCATTAGACAAAGTTGAGCAAGAGCTAAAGAAACCACTTTTGAGGAATGATAAGAAGGGAATGTCCCTCCTAATGACAGAATTTGATAAGATCAACCAAAAGTAAGCTCCAGAACAAGCTTGCAGAATCTTCTAATTGTAACATCAATTGGATTGACAGTTGCAGGCGTGCATTTGGCCTATTCCATGGTCATCGTTTTGCAAAAATGCCATATGGTTCAATTCTCCTGGTGTTTCTTACTGTGTTTTACAGTTTTACATTTCTCGTGTAGGCTTGGCATACGTAGAGAAGATCTGCCCAAATATGAGGAACAGTTGGAACTCAAAATTGCAAAAGCTCAGCTGGAAGAGCTGAAGAAGGATGCTGTTGAAGCAATGGACACTCAGAAGAAGCGGTATGTCTTCTAAATTCCTCATAATTTAATCTTGGATCACGGCACAAGTTTCTCTGAAACACAAAGTGTTATGTTGAGAGTTATAATTATTTTGTCAGGGAGGAGTTCAAGGATGAAGAAATGCCAGATGTGAAGTCATTAGACATCCGGAACTTCATTTGAGACTGAAATTTACTTCCAAGTCGTTTCTTTTCATTTTTCCACCTTCGGCAGACGACTCGTGCGATTAAAAGGAGGTATTGTGCTTCTGAAAGATTGAGAGTATTGAAGACAATAAGGACTTGCCTGTTAATAATAATATGGCAGAAATTTGCTCTGCATATATATTGAATCTTGGTTATCTATTGCAACATTTCTTGTTTTCTGCACGAGTTCTCGAGTGGAACACCAATTCTAATGTATTCATATTTGGTAGGAAGTTATGCTCTTGAAGCAATGGACACTTAAGAACATCAGTTGCATAAATTATCATCACTGAACATTTGTATGTAGCTTTTTTCCCGGTTGCTCGAATTGTACATACCAAAGAAAGCGAGTTTTGAAAATACATGACATTGCTACATTTGATACACAGAATCGGGCGAAATACTATCGGGTGTTCTCAACTAAGATTTTAATGAATTTAAAAGATTATAAGATTTTAATGAATTTTAAAAGATTATAAATTCTAATAAATTTTGTGGATTTGAGTAAATTCTTACAAATTCCATAAGAATCTTATCAAATATGGTGAAAATTTAAAAGATTTGTTTATATGTACTTTTAAGTTTAAATCCGTTCAAATCTTTTAAAATTCTTCTATTAATGAAATATTTGTAAATTTACTAATTATTGAGGACACTTAAAAGAAATTCATCACAATTTCAATTGAGGACACTCCCTTAAATTAGTCTCTTTCTTGCCCCCGCTTGGCCTTGACCTCCATTATTTCGAAGTTTAGTGGGTGGAGTAGTGTATTTTTAAAAAAGAGAGTGGTTGAAAGGGAAGGAATTTTTTTCGATTTATGTGTAATATTATTTTGTAGAAAATTGTGTGGTTGAAAATTGGAGATAGAAAAATAAAATTTAATTTAATGAAGGCCAAACGAGTAAGACATAATGCATTGATAATAGATATATTTAACAAAGATTTAGGGGCGGGGTGGTGAGATCCCTCAAGATTGGGGTTCAACCTTTATTTAATACGTAAAATTAGATAAGATTGTTAACAAATATCTTGCAAATGTGAAATGTCTATGATTTATTGAAGGGTAATTATATTGGGAAATTTTTATAAATGGCCTACTACTATTCATTTTTGGTAAAATGTCTATAATACCCTTAATGAAAGGATTTGTCATATTTTGCATAAGATATCCTTAATTTATTGGGATAGTTCTAAATTCCTCTATTTCTCTCATTTCGAGTTTTAATATATAATTCCATCCTTTGATCTAATAAATTAGCATAATCTGTAATATAATTGTCATGTAATTTATTAAGATTATCATATTCCTTAGATGAAATATCCATAATCTCTAGTTGAGCAAAAATATTTCTTATTTTTTCCAATAATTTTTCTAGCAGATTATCTAATCCTTTAATTGTATAACCTGGCATTGTTCAGATAATTCTTTGCAAGCTTTATGAATAATAATAGCATGTTATATAAGTTTTTTGTAAACATGAAAAGTAATAATCCCTACGATTCTTTCAAGATATTAGAAGAATTCTTTCTAAATTTAACAAAGACAATTATTTTACCTTACTTTTGATTTTAAATCTGTATTCTTAGAACCGAGTGACCTTCAGGCTCTGAATCTGCAAACTGCTCCCTCAAACGGTATCTTGCCTCAATGGGAATTCTGCTATTTCAGCTTCTTGTCCACACTGTATCTTTTCTTAGAATTAAGAATAAAGATCTTAAGTAAAGAAAATTCTCTCTTTGTTAAAGTAAGAAAGAAATTATCTTCTTCAATCTATCAAGAATCTATGGGATAGGAGGTTTAGAAACTCATATTTTTCTGATATTAAAAGATTGAAATTTTATTTCTATAATGATTTATACAAGGTTTCTATTGTATACAAAGGGGTTTCCAGAAAAACTGGTTTTGGAAAAAGCTTAAGGAAAGAGAATGGTTTCTAACTCGAGATGCCCCCTTCTTTCTTTAAAGACCTCTATTTATACATGACTCAACCTTACTATTATTGATCTATTACATCATTACATACATCAGAATTTTGAAAAAAAGCTCACATGCCTCTCTATTCTTTTCCTCCTGGGCTCTACATCTTTACATGCATTTTTTTGCTTTTTCATCAAAATGGCATCTTTTCTTCTATTATTGTCTTGTCATCTTTGGCTTCATATGCAGCTGGCTGGATGCTTTTCTATTATTGTTTTTCCATCTTTGTCTTCATACGTAGTTGGCCAGATGCTTTGGTAGTGGTAGATTATTTTCCATCCATCAATCTCTCAATTTTGTCTACATGTGGGGCACTCCCTCAATCTGCATGATTCTTGAATTGTTGTTGGACTTCCATTAATTTGATGAGTATCAAATTTCTGGATATATTTTAAAATGGTAGATTTTTCTTTTCCATTATATGTAAGGAGTGTCCATCCTTCATATTGGCACAAGCATCTGAATTTTTTATCATATAAGTTCTTTGCAATATTGTAAAGAACTTTCATCCCCAAAACTCTTCGAGATTTTATCCATGATTTATTGATTTTAGGCAATGATTTATTATATCGGCCAACTTCAATCTGAAAATCTCGGCCAACATATCCAATAGTAATAATATGTTCAGTAGGATAGTATATCCTTCCATTAACTTCGGGACTTATTGAATAAAATTTGATATAAATCGATCTCCCTTGAGCAAATTTTGAAACTTCTGCTCCGAATATATCATCAAATTTTTCAATTTCTTTTAAATCTTTTCCTGGATAGATCAAATCCAAAAATCCATAATCTGCTGCCATTTTGACCATGAAAGGGTCTGCATCTTTGGTAATTATTAATCTGGGGGATCTCCTGATGCAATAAAATAAGATTCATTTTCTTCCAATTCATAAGCAATCTTGGCAAATGATCTATATTCTTCTTCTTTTGATGATAAAGGGGTATTATCATCTTCATCGGTTTTGATTCTTATAACTCTTGTATGTTCATCATTATTTTTTATAGTCACCTTCCGGAGACTTGCCATATCTCGTTTGATATTGCTGGGTCCACTGCTGCTTCCTGGCTGTTTAGCTGTTTGTATTTTTGAGATTGTATCAATTGACATTTCCTGTTTGGTATCTAATGACTCGAATTGTGAAGTAATATCAACAATTCTGTCATTCAATTCTTTGGTATATTTGGAATGAGAATTAGAGATTTCCACCAACAATTTGACATTTTGTTGGATAGTTTCTGCCATTTCCTCTAACTGGTCAATTCCAATTTTCATATTTTCAGATTCTTCCATGAGGAATTTCATTCGTCTGTTGACGTCTATTAATGAATTTTTGATATTATCCATCTCCAAATTCGATGTTCCTGCTCAAAAAATCTGCAAGATAATTATTTATTCCTTTAATATGAACAATATCAAAATTGTAGAATGATAAATATGCTTGCCATCTGTGTAACCTTCTATATTGAGGTTCCATAGGTAACTTATTTCTAATAAGACCTGCAACTTGAGAATTATCAGTTTCAATAATGAATTTTTTAGATAAAAAAAATAATGAAAACTTTTTTATTCCTCTAATAATTGTTAACAATTCTTTCTCATGGGTAGTATAATTTATTTCTGCTTGGTTAAAAGTTCCACTTGAATATCTGCATATTTCATTTAAATCTGTTTTTAATATAGCTGCCCAATATTTATCCGAGATATCAGTATTAACAATTAAATTATCTTTTTCATCTGGTAATCTTAATTTTGGTAAATTTTTACATTCTTCTTTTAATGATTTAACAATTTCAGTATGTTCTTTATTCCAACCTTTAGTATTTGTTTTCCTAAGTAGAATTTGTATCTTATGTCTCTTTTTTGAGAGATTTTCAATAAATCCTTCAGCATAGTTTAAACATCCTAAAAAATTTTGTATTTGTTCTTTGGATTTTAATTCATCTGGAAAGTTTTCTATCTTTTTAGATATATGAGTCTGTAATTTTATTCCTTTTCTATCTATTGATAATCCTAAAAAATCTATTTTTTGTTTCTCTATTATAGATTTCTTTTTAGAAAGTACAATCCATTCCTTTTTGCATTCATTTATGAATTGTAATAAATGATTCCTATGCTCTTTTTTATTATTGGAGCATATTGGTATATCATCAATATAAACAATAAGCAAATCACTATACTTTTTGAATATATTATCCATTTTTTTTTATATATTTGTGGTGCATTTTTTAAACCAAATGGCATAACTAACCATTCATATTTTCCTTGAGATGTACTAAAAGTTGTATAATGTATACTATCTTCTTTCATTTTTATTTGCCAGAATCCTGATTTACAATCAAATTTGGAATAATATTATTTTCCTTTTGCAAGGTTTATTAGGACTTCCTTATTTGGTAAAAAGTAACCATCAAATTTAGTATATTTATTTAATTCTTTATAGTTTATTAACATTCTAACTTTTCCTCTAACCTGCTCAGAATGTTTCATAACCATAAAAGCTGAACTACTATGAGGTCCATTACTGGGTCTAATTAGCTTTTGTTCTAATAGTTCTTTTATCTGAATTTTAAATTCTTGCATATCCTGTAAGGTATACATCATTGGTCTAACTCTTATTATAACATTTTCTGTTAATTCTATTTTAGCTTTAGGATGATATGGTTTCCAAAATAATAATGGGTTTTCTCCATAAATTCTTTCTAATTGTTCTATGATTTTTTCCATACTTATCTCTATTTCTGTTTTTAGGATCTTTTTATATGATAGTTTTTTATTTTCTAACTCATCTTGTACTATTGGTCGTTTTTCTCATTTATCACCACGCTGGGCTAGCTGAACTCTAGAGGGTCTAAATTCTCTTGGCATTTTTAATAGATGTGCACAAGGTGTTTGTAACATTATCATGTAATTATTTTGTTTGTAATATTGAAATTGTTGGATAAAATCATTTCCTAATAGTATATCACATTCTAACTTATTGTAATTATATACTTTATTTATTATAACTTGTTTACTACCAAGTATTATATTAACTTTTTCAGCACTATCAATTATTTGAGTACTTTCTCCAATTACTCCTGTTATCTTTACTTTACTATTTTTATTCCATGATTTTATTAAGAAATTTTTAAAAATTGTTATATCACTTCCTGTATCAATTAAAGCACAAGTTGTTATATTTGTTTCTACTATAGTAACTTGTATATATACTGCCAATGGAAAACTAATTTGATTATTCGTCCACTTCCTATTCTATATAATGTAGTTTGTCCTTTATGAGTTATATATAATCCTTCTCTTCTTATACTATAATCTTCTAATCCATTTAAGAAACTTATT